TTTCGAATTTTTCGGAACTTTTTTTTTTAGGAAATGTAAATAGAGCGAATTTTGAGTTACATAGATATGCGATTTTATTTTTGTCTTTAAAAGAATATTGGATAAGGATACAAATAGCTGACATTAAAATTCATTTACAAAGTTATGGCGCTTTGTAAAACCGTAAACCATAATCTTATATATTTCTATTCTGCATGTTATAAAACGTTTGATCTACTGTATGCCTATTATTAAAATGAATATGTCTGGTAATAAAATTAGAATGATTTATTTAGGATGCTATCGTCTCTGTATTTATTCATGTCGCTTAATATTCTTATGTGATAATAAACACTTTATCATGCGTGGGATATGAAAGGACTGATGTTTTAGTCAGCTAATGCAGTCATGGTTAATCAACTTAACTTTATTATTTAGATGCTACAACTATAAATGAAGCATAAAATAAATTATAAACACTAATGGTGCAACTGCTACATAAAAATTTACATTGTAGTTTTCGAATCTTATTTTAATATAATAGATAAGTATTGATTATTAAATTTAAAATTAGAAATTTTATTTAGATTTTACATTTATAAGATCATCTTTATAGTGCTTTTAATTTTAATAAAGTAAAGAAAATTGTAAGTTGTAAAGATTAGGGAATACTAGTTTACAGGTAAAATTACGGTTAGCATTATTTTTTTTCATATTCACGGGGGAAATAAACATATAGCTACCGAAAAATCCCGAACATAACCGAAAAATTCCGATCACCATGCCGACCATTATACTGACTAATTTGTCATCTTTATTTGTTTAATTTTAGGGGGAGCTCAGGGAATGGAGGGGGATAACGTTAAACGAAAGTTTAACTTCAAGCGGCCTTACATGAAATTTCCAAACTTGGTATTAAATCACAATAAATTCATGATATAGCAAGAGGCGTTGCAATTATTACAATATCAGTCGAGCATTAAGATTTGCATTTAAAATTTTACCGATTTAGAGAGGTTATAAATACATTAAGTTTAATTGAAATATAAGGGGTCAATTTGTTCGTTGTAATTGTTAAATAAGTTTTCGCAATTCGATGATCTTAAATATTCAGATTGGACGTTCTATTTTTGTTCAATAAGAAAAATATATACAAATTCATATTATCTATATCAAATTGTTGTGATATATCGTTTTGCCCTACTTTTTCGGCAAAGATCGAAGTTAATTAATGAACAGTTAAATGTTCTGTATGATGCGACTTTTTACCTATCGCTATGAATATTAAAATCATTTGCATTACATCACGTGAGTGCAAATAATAGTTTGAAAGCACAATTGTAATTCAATAATATAGTACTGTATACTGTTATACAGTTTACTACTACGGTAATGATTTCCTTTCGTTGGGGCTTTTATTACTATACTAATACTAACTATACCGGGCCTTACTAATAGCGATAGGGAGTAACAGACTAAAAAAAATAATAATAATAAAGTAGGTCTGGGACCCTGGCGCCTTCACTACGTACATACATATGTTTATGCAGGTGTCACGGTGGGCAAAGGCTTAAAAATTAATTGTAAAGTTAAATCGGAGTTTAACTACCTATAATTTTGTTCAAGATTTACTCTCTGATCATTTCCAAGTATAACTATGTTTGTCCATGTGCATGACTTTTGAATGGGCTATACTTTACTCGCCTATACTTTTAATCGAAAAGAAAGAATTGTCATAAAATAATTTTATATATTCTACATATAAAGCCTGTTATCTGAGCTTAATGCTGTGAAAAGGCGGATTTGCAATGATTAGTTCTCGTGGTTAAGCACAACCTAAAATGAAGGCTATCGAAAGAGGACGTGGGAAATTTGGTCTAAAAACCAAGGATCATACTGCCACTAAGATCGCCGGGATTATTATGATTTTTTTCTTTTCCATCTTTTCGTTGGATGATGCCAATAGATTTTTATATATTACAAATCACACCGAAGCTTTGCTATTAGAATCTACAAACAATATGAGTGACCATACTACTTTGACTTAAGTTCCCACCATTTGAATCTCAAAAGCGCATCGTCTCGAGCCAAACTCTAATACCAGTATGATCACATTGAATGCGCGACATGAAACATGAAAGGATGGTTCATTTAGTGATGAGCAAAATTCTAATTTTTTCAAATTTCATGCGCATGATTTTATAATTTCATGCGCATCTAGTTTCGTTCAACTTTTTTTGATGGCCAAATACAGAAATATGCTGATTTTGCAAAATCATGCTTTGTCGAACTATATCTCGCTTGGTTAATTCAGTAGTTATTCGATTTGTGACATGTGATCGTACTGGTCCTGCACAGTATCCTTATTAGTATTTATTAAATGCCTTCTGGCTGGGGTACGGTTTTAAGTAACGATCGATGGGTCACGTATCTACTGCCAGATTACATTTCCCTATTACAACAGATCAAATTTTACTCAAAAATGCTTAACGAATTTAAGTTGTATTTATTAAAATTTAAGATTTAATACCCCGATCACTATTTAAGATCACGGGAGTATTTATTACAAATCCAGTAAACTATATGCTTTCTGAATTCTGTGGCGCAGATCCTATTAATAAAATTGACAAATTAATCAAAAAAAATTGAAAGTGATATTTGGTTGATATGTTAACTACCCCAACGGCACCCAGACGATTTCTGCTATCATGTAGATCTTGTGTAACATTTAATATTGATATACTGATAAAAATAATACTGTATATTTTAAAAGCTCACAATACGTACATTAATTTTATTATTGTAAAATATGTAATTTATCAATATCTCTATTGAAAATAAAAGTTTTATTTTTACTTTTATAGAATATATTTAATAACTTTTATACTTTACATATGATTTTGTTTTTCTTTTTTCGAAATAACCCCATTCTTGTAAAAGATGCTAATTTGAAAGTTTCGATAATATCATAATTAAACTTCAGCAAAGAAAAGCGTTAATCCACAGAAATATTTTAGTAACTTCTTTCATAATAGATTCATTATAGCTAGTTAAAGAATTTGAATAATGATTGCTGTAATTTTTAAGTTCCATTCAAAAACATCGTATGGTGGTTATGATCTTTCCATATTCGTGGATTTGTTGTTCTTCTCCTATATGCTTCAATATCCATTACCATTTTTTTAACCCTGCAAAGCTGCTTTTTACAGATTTTGCCCATCTATAATTTTGTTTTAATCTTTGCTCTTGAATGATTTTAAGTGCTTTAGTAAGATATAATTCGTAATCTTGATATAAATCGTCTAAATCATTCTCGCTATTTTCATTATCTTCTAACCCTGCAATATTTTCAATAGTTACTATATTTTGTTGATTTTCTTTATCTTGCTCAATATTGATCATTAAATTTGTGATATCTTGAAAAGATCTCGATACTATAATTTAAATAATTACCATTATACATTAATTAAGATTATTACATATATGTTTTATTTAATATATATATGGTCAAATATTACCTTCTAAACTTGGTAAAAAAATAAACAGATATTTTCCTTGGCGCTGAACTTGACGAAAAAATTCCAAATTTGTATTAAATTCACAATTTTGAACAAGGTGTTTACAAATAAAGAATCGACTTAATAAAAAAGATTCGCAATTGCATATCCATCGTTTAGTATCTACAAAGTAGGTATTATTAATATTTTTTACAAAGCGATTGCCATTCTGACTTAAAATTTTTTCGCCATGACACTTTTTCTCTTCCATTCAAGTATTTCTGATATTGTACTTGACAATGTGGAATAATTTGTGAAATAATAATATAAACTAAGAGATCGATGCGTGGATGAAAAAATTTGGGCAAGTAGTCATGCTTAATCATTTTCTAATGCGATTCAATAAGAATTGTCATATGTAATATACAAATTTCAGTTGAAATTGAAGAACGTGCCCAAAGAACCCACATATTTTTTTGATACTAGTAGGTTCACAAATAAGCTCATAAATATTTTAAATCATTATCTATGCACAAATGATACATTTCATAAACTGCAGATTCCCAAATTTGTTGATCTGATAAAAAATTTCCATTATTATCTGGAATAAGTGAATGTAAATGAAAATGTTTATTCATAGTTTCAATAATAATAGGCCGTAAATCTTTCAAACAAAAAATAAAGTTATATTTTTTTTGTTCTTTTTTGAATAAATCTGGTAAAAGGGGGTAGAATTCTCTATCAATAAAATTGAATACATCATGAGCATCATTCGAGCTATAATTAATCATTTTTGGTAATGTATTATCAGAAAGCTGCTTTTTGATAGCCTTTTTTAAGTGCCACAAGCAAATTTGCACTTTTACATTTGGCCTAGTTGATCGTGCGGCAGAAATTTGACTAAAATCCTTGTCCGTTAAAAAAAAACAATGTTGTCCATTCTGAGTGTTTTAAGTTTTTGAAAAAAATACTCTAAAATATTTGTGCGTGTACCATTATCTTTTTTTTTGCCATCAATAAACAAATAAGCCATCACGAATCCAGCACCATCGACTTGTCCAATTATTGAATAAAGCTCAAAATCTAATGCATTCGTTTGATCTTTAATTTAAATAATTAAATTAATATAAAATTATATTTATTTATTGGCTTTAAATTATACTTACATGTCGCATCAATTACAATTTCTTTGTTCTTTAATAATAGATTAAAAAATGGTGTTACAAATCCAAGATATTTAATGCCTTCTGTTATATTTTCCAATATGATTGAACATTTATACTCTTCAAGAAGAATCTTCATAGAATTTAACTGATTATTGTTATCACGAATATACTTTTCTTTAATAAACTTATTCCACCATGCATGTACTTGCTTTTGTGTAAGGTTAGGATAATTTTGTTCTAGCTGCTTATAAATATCACTCGGTGTTAAGTGTATATTTTTCTTAATTTCTTCCTGAACAAAATTATCAACTTTAAATTGCTTTGGTCATTTATGCAAAAAATTATGTTTAAGTTGAATTTTTGCAAAGTTATCATTTATATTAATAGAAATAAAAAGTATGCCTTCATAAGCAAATGTTCAATACTATCACGATCTCTTTGTTTTTCTAAGTCTTTATGTTTTCGAGGTCTTTTTTTAAGCGTTTGGCATTGGGAACAATAATACCAGAATGAATAACTTCTGGGAACCTTTTTTAATTCATGACTTTCTTTGTAACTGTAAATATAAAAAATAATTTAAACTTTTAAATTTAAGACAGAAAAATATATAAATTTCAATATTGTATACTTATATATAAGTATATCCGTCTTCTTGTTCAACGAGTTCAACTATCTTTTTAGAAAGTTTATGAGGATCGTCCGTAGCTTCCAATTCCAACAAACATGAAAATTCTATTCCTGTGTTTTCATTTTCCATATAGATATTAGAAGCAATATTACAAACTTCATCGTATAGTTTTGATGTCAACATTTTGAAAGGAATTATTTCTTCTTGATTGTCATTATGATTATTTATAATTTTCTGCTTTTTTATTTTATATATACGTGAAGACTGAGTACAGCATATAGAGCAGGAATTTACTTTCTTTCCAGATTGGCTTAAAAACATTGATTTTTCAAGTATTCGAAAACATTTAGTACATTCATCCGTGAGCGAAGTCATTTTTGATAGAAAAAAAATTTCAATCGAAATAAAATTAAAGAAAAAAAAATTGCTTATTGTATTGTATTTAAACAAATGTTTTGATTCTTTTTTTTAAACTCCGATAAAACTTTATTAAATTATTGTAAAACCAAATAATAAATAAATATTAATTAATAGACAAGATTTTAAAATATACAATTCTAATAAGTTTTAACATAAAAAAATAAAAACTATCTTTTACACTAAAAAGAACATTAAGATTAAAAAAAATATAAGATAGGTAAGTAATTAGCTCAATTATTACTAAAGAAACTACATACGTACGTAAGTATTAAAACCTTAATGGCAATCATTTATAATATTTAACACGCTATTACTATATTATCTTTAAATGTAATAATTAACATTCAATTTATCGTTTATTATGAATAAACAAGTCTTGAACTTATCTATAGTATTGAACTGGTTAGAATCATGATCTGTGGTTTGAAACACGATCTATAATTCAAAACTTTAATAACGATAAACAAATAGATAAACATTGCAGCTAAAGTTAGAAATTCTGAAGTTAGAAAATCCGATTTGAAAACGTACCCTCAGAAAAAACTAAATGTACCCTGAAAAATTTTAAAATTTTCATATTAAATTTGTGGCTTTAGACAATAAATAAAATAAAACAAGTATCACATTTATAAAATTTTAATGTTTACAATTATGCAATATTATCTAAAATTAAGTACTAAAGAATTTGTATTTGCTTAAATTCTTATAAATCGCTTTAACTGTTATTATGCAATCAATATTAAATATTACACAAGATCTACATGATAGCAGAAATTGTCTGGGTGCCGTTGGGGTAGTTAACTATAATATAAATGCACATGAAATTTTATAATAAAAAAGTCTATTATAACAGACTATGATGTAAGTGCACGTCAAATTGAATAAATA